GGCGAACAAGATTTAAATGCGCCAACCATTCCGCTCTTCGAACATGAGGCAAGGGCGGGGGACGCTCCGGGAAGCTCTGCCGAAAAGGACAGTTATTAGTATTGTCACACTCAGACATGCATTCGTCGCCGTCTAAGACAATAAATTCAGAAATATCAGCTGGTATTTGGCCAATGCACACATGCTGAGTAACTGTCTCAGTGCTAGTTGTACTATCATTCAATATATTTGATGGGTTTTCTAAAAAGGGTTCCTTCTTCTGAGTTATACATGGCTTGGATATTTCGATAAGAGGCAAGTTTCCAAGCGATTTCAGCGACAATGGCTCACAGTAAGGGGGAGAATTAAGATTGCGTCGAGAGTAACTTCGCGAGACCTTAGCTTTACTGATTTTGTCGTTATTCATATTATGCTCCGTTAACTTCACTTTGTTAATTTCACATTTGTTGTCGAGTTTATTGTTGTTTCTATTACAACTTGCTGGTTGGACAATTAGACATGAATTATCAAGGGGGCTTTCAACGCTGACAGTTTCGGGAATAAATGGTTCACCTGGTAAACAAATTCCTAGGTTTGAATTTGCAGTTTCTATCGATTTTACAGTGTCTATGATGCAGTTATAAGTATTAATTTGTTCAGGTTGGTTTGACAGGCTTTGTTCGGCACTCAATACACCATTGAATTTTTCTGAATTAATTTGCATTCGCGATTGTCTTAGAGATTCATTTATGACATCGCTTGATTTAAGTTTGTTTTCGAGACAGGTAATGGTATTTTTTAATTCGTTTATCTCCCTATTCCTTCCTCGAACCAAAATAGATATATCAGCCTCCAACTGACTACATTTCTCCTTTTCCTTAAGAAGCTCGTGTTTAAGTTCACTTATTTGTTCACTATCACTATCCCGTGAATTGAAAGCTGCAAGGAACTTAGTTTCTATGTCCCTGCACATGATTGCTATATCGAGCTTAACTCCCTCCAAATCAGCAGCTAAAATTCTACACTGACAACCAAGTTTGAAATCATGCTCTATACTGACCTTTTGATGATTATCAGTTTGTTCAAAGTCCTTAATACAGTGATTAGACATCTGTTCGGGTTCATCAACAGCTGGGTTTATAGTTGCAATCGAACTATGTATGGCCGACACACATACATTGTTTGATAAACCGTCGTCTTCAGAGATTGCCTCTGCACACACATTTATTAACGCGTCAACCAAACCCGAGCTTTCCTCACCGTGAAATACGAGTGTATTTAGTTTCTTGGGGTACCAAGTTATTGATATATCTAGATTATAGCACGTAAACTTTTTAGAACAACCGCCTGGCGAAGACCATTTGCCATCCAATTTAAGATCGCATTCGACAAATTTCTGCAATATATCAAAAGTTCCAATCCATTTAATTCGTTTACTATCATAACTTAAGTTGGAAGAAGCTATATGATTACAAATTTCTTTAGCGTTCCATATTTTCGGGATATTTTGATGGAATTTTGTAGAGCTCACAAAATTAGAACTGTCCGCCATGATGATTACTTCGATTACGATAGTCTATGGACCTGTATATAAGTTGGTATGCGTTTCATTTAGCACAGGTAATCTCAACTGTTTTAGGGTAAAATGACCATGGCGGTCAACATGGCATATGTGCCAAAACCTGAATCCGGGACGAAAGTCCTGAAAATGACCCCGCCCTGAAATGGCGGTGTCGACATAGCTCTAACTTCAGAAAACAAAAAGCGATAGTCTTTCTGAAGTGCTTATAGTGTTTAAAAGGGTTGCTTTTAGGGATGGTCACTGGAAGAAAAAATTTGTCTAAGTAAATATTTTACAAGAAAATGACTATGCACCACCCCAGGTAAATTGCTAATTATGCATAAAATAACTAATATGCCTGGCAGAAATTAAATATTCTTATTTCCTAAAAAAAATTATCATGGGGTGAAAAACTATGCTTAATTTAATATAAACATTGTTGATATCATAAGGATTGTCATTGTTTTCTTTAAATATAATACATTTTATTTTACTTAACCCCCACGAAAACACGATTTCAGCCATATTTTGCCGTCTTGTTTGCTTTTTATTGCCGAATCTCGCAAATATCATCCAGTTATTGTACTTTTACATAATCATAAATGGCTGAAGAAGATTTCAAAGAAGGTTTCATCCACTTTAGAAACAGTGCAGTGTATTTTATCTTCGATATTGTGTCCTTCGATATTTCGTCAAATTGCCGCCATTTTAATGGCTCGCCGCTTCTCTGCCCGATAAATGCCACTTCTTCGTTTTCATATGTATTTAGATTACATTATCCAAGATTATATTACGCAAATATTTATTGTTTTTATCATAATCACAAATGTACAATAAATATAATGTACTTAGTTAGGTTGCTGTGGCCTGTGGTGGCGAACAAACGTTTCGTGAAAATATTTACCCCCCTGTTATGTAACCCACGAGGTGTTTTCGCGAACTTGCGCGTGACTTTTAAATTACTTCTTTTGAATTCTGACAGGAGGTTTTGGAGGTTTTTTCCTCCCAAATACAAATAATATTTCCAGTTTTTGGATTAGGACTATTCTACAATGAAGTACTCCTGGATAATGTAATCTAAATACATATGAAAACGAAGAAGTGGCATTTATCGGGCAGAGAAGCGGCGAGCCATTAAAATAGCGGCAATTTGACAAAATATCGAAGGACACAATATCGAGGATAAAATGCACTGCACTGTTTCTAAAGTGGATACAAACTCATACACAGGTCCTAGACTACAAAGAAAATGATGAGAAAGTGCAAGGATTTCGGAGACGACCCATGCATATCTTGCTCTTCTAACGCTCAGAAACACGCCACGGCAACATCACGAGATGAGTCCCGCACAGCGTCTATTGAGTCGACGTACAAAAACCCGCCTACCGACGCATGCCAAACTGATGAAACCGCAGATAAACAAACAAACAGCATAACGTGTCCAAAAAGCAAAAGAGATACAGAGAAAATACTATGATCGATGTAGCAAGAACCTGAACCCGTTGAAAAGCGGAGACATTGTGAGAATGCAACCGATTAAGTAAGCGAAAAGAAATGGCAGAAAGGCCGCGTTGTCCAAAAAGTGGGGATTCGGTCGTACGAAGTAGAATGCCAAGGATACAAATATGTTCGGAACAGAAAATTCCTGCGACGCGAAGTACCACCTGGAACGTGTACGGATGAAGACGACTCTGACGATGACTATCCAACCACTTCACCGAAAAAGCACCAAAACGGTGACACCGGTGCTCCGATCCACATCAATGCTGAAAAACCCATGGACGTTCCAGCAAAACAGGGTGAGAAAGGAACTGCAGAATTCGCACAAGAGTCAACGAAAACAAGCAGCGGTCGAAGCATCAAAAAGACAACCGATTTGGATTTGAGACTGTAGGATAAACAGATAGAACCAGGGATGCCGGAACCACGGGTGCAGCGGGTGCAAGTGCACCCCTTGCCTTTAGCATTTTGAACTTTGTGGGTGCAGTACGGGTGCAGAATATGGGTGCAACAGGTGCACAAAGTGCCCTTTTTGCGTGAAAAATTTTCATTAAAATTGCATTTTTTGCGCAAAGGACATTTTTGAAAAATTCAATCTATGTTATTTCCGGAAAAATGTTTTAATTTCCGGAAAAAACAACATTTTCCGGAAAATTTTTCGGTATGTCCGGAAAATTTTTTTCGTATTTAGGAAAAATTGTGGTATGTCCGGAAATTTTTTTTTACCCCTTTTCATTAGTGCCGTCATTTTCATTAGTGGCCTTTTGTTAAGGAATATGCCCTCTTGTTAACCAATTGCACCCGTTGTCCCCAGCAACTTCCGGCATCCCTGGATAGAACAAACTCTCTCTCTAAAGGAGGTCATCATTGTTATTATTTGTGTTTAAAATACCTTTCCGCCATTTTGTTTGTTTTGGGAAAATCGTTAATTGTTTTGGGAAAATCATTAATGAAATTCTATAAGATTTTAACCAAACTAAAACGATTAAAATATTTTAGATCAATCGGAAGATCTATCTTATGTGACGCTTTTGATGGATTGGGAAATTACGGCAGACAATCTCAACGTATTGGAAAAAAACCTGGGCAAAGGAAAGTTTGGAATTGTTAAGCAAGGATTATTAACAACTGCTGAAGGCGACCCTGAAGTTGTTGCTGTGAAAATGTTAAAAGGTAGAAGTTTCCCTGGTTATACTATCCAAGCCGTTATACCTAATTCTAGTTGGATGATCTCCTTATAAACATATATACAGATGCGGTTTCTACGTTATATAGCTGGAGGTTAAAACGTACCTGTCGAGATACAAATGCCATGCACATTTACTATAAATGATACATATATTTAGATTTATGTGATTAAGTAACGTGCAATATTATAATTGCGGTAACACATAACGTATATTGCTGTCCTCCTTTGTAAAGTGTTGCAAAGAGTAATAGCAACTTAATGTATGCAAACAGTTTAACCAGGGCATGTTTATTTCTTAGATGGTGCAAGTGAATCTGATCTTTCAGATCTGCTATCTGAGCTGAATATCTTGAAAGAAATCAACAAGATTCCACATCCCAATGTCATTAGACTCATCGGAGGGTGTTCTATAGCAGGTAATGTGTCAAAAACTTTTCGATTAAAAAACAATGTCAATTTGAAAATTCAGTTATAGTGTCTCTATCACAAATGACAGTTTATATTTTTGAAATCTACGACACAAAATATACGGAAATTCGAAAGCAGAATCGAAATTGCTTTTTAGTCTAAAAGTTATTGCAGTTAAACATTGAATTTCGCCTTGCGAAAAATCTGACGGCCGCGCAAAAGAGATATGCGACGAAACAATGCGTGTGACGTAATAGTAGGGACTCGTCTAGCTCACCAATTCCCGAGCCAACGGCGCGGAGCGCCGTTTCGGGCGTAAGCCCGGGGCGAGGGTACTAATTTCGCCCGGCTATTTACACCCGGGGAAACGAAAGCATTAGCGAAGTCTAAAAGTTCATCAATGATCGCGAGCGTGGGTGACCAACGGTGTTGAGTGGGTGGTCATCCTCACTGATCTCAAAATATGTGGTGGACTGTCATGAACAGCGAACACTGATTGGTCAAATTCGAAATTTGTTGTTGTATGACAAATAACGACAGCAAGATAAACATTTCTTGTAAATATATTGTATTTTTGCAAGATTTTGCAAATTTCAAAGTCTTTTTGAGAGCCATAGACCGTCTAAAAACGTCTAAAAGAATGGAGAAAAGTCGCCAACGTAATGAAGGTAAGTTTGTTTTAAATATTGATGTATTGTTTGTTTTATAATTACTACTACACTTAACATTTTGCAAGAAAATATTAAAGATAATGTCCACTCCTGTGCACATGCGCGAACTTTGTTTACGTTTTGAACTGCTATATTTGTAAAATATGATATACTAACTGAATATCTAACACTTTTCTGGTTCGCTATGCTTGTAAATGAATGTAAACTGTACGTTTCAATTCAAAAAAGTTCGAAAGATGCAAAAATTTGGGCAATGTTTATATCTGAGTGTCCCCCTTTGTTATGAGCAGAACTGATGCGCAGAACGGTGTGGGCGGCATCTTTAATATTTTTCTCGATTTATTCTCCGCCGAATGCAAATTTTTCTGTCCAAATTCTGCAGATAACACGATGGAAAATAGAGCGATCTCATTGGTCGAGAGCTCACGTGACACTCGCTAATTGCTTGTCCAACCTCCTCTGCCATTCCACCTGTTTGGTAATTTTATCACACCTTGTCCTTTTGCACCTTTCCTGGGTCGGTAAAAATGTGTTTCCACGCGATTTCTCGTTTCTCCCAAACTTCCATGCGCGTTTCTTAACTCTATATATAGAAGCACGGAAAATATTTCTAGAAATTTTTAAATGCATGCATACTTTACTTGTTGGAAATCATCACAAATAGAGCAAAAAACATTGAAATCACAATTTCTTGGAATCATGCACACCCAGTGACTGCCAATGGGAGTTTTAGTGATATACAGAAATACTCCCAGATTCCTGAATTATTGTGCTGTCACATAACCAGCGTTTACCAGGACCTCGCCCGCTTTGGCTGCCATATTAAAAAATTGGGCGGGAAGGCCCTGGGTACATCTTGGTCATATTAGAGGGCCCCCTATACTTTTTGCGTGAAGCGTGAAGGGCTTATTTTACTTAGCCGTGAAACGTGATCGGGCCCCCTATAATTTTTGCGTGAAGCGTGAAGGGCTTATTTTACTTAGCCGTGAAACGTGATCGATGATTTTCTTAATCCGTGACTCGTGAAAAGGCAAAATATTTTTACGTGAAAGCATATTATGAAGAGGTATAGGGGGCCCTCATATTAGTATAAGTAATCATGCGATGGCGAGTACAGTTAGGGATTAATAAATAGTACGAGTAATGTTTGGAAATTTTGCCAAAATTGGACGGGCCGCCGGGGCGAGTCCAATTTGGTAAATTTCCAAACATCACTAGTACTATTAATCCTTAATTGTACGAGCAACATCACATGATTACTTGTTTATTATTAGCATGACAAAACTGGATACTTCTCAATATCAACATCATATTCTCTCGCCAAAGCCCAGTCTTGCCAGACTTTTAACCAAAATTTGATGCTTTTGTTCGTATTTTCATTTAGTTCTTTGTTAAAGCAAGATTTGGCGGTTTTGTTCGTATTTTCGTAAAGTTCTTTTAGGCAATTTCATTTCACATTTGTGTGTAAAATACCTTTCCGCCATTTTGTTTGTTTTGGGAAAATTATTAATTGTACTGCAGTACAGTTAATGAAATAATTGTACTCCTCTCAACCAATCAGCATCAAGTAATTTTGTCATGCTAATAATAAACCGGATTATAGAAAAAACAATGTTAAAATAACCAGAATATTCAGGCTGTTTTGTTAACTATTAAGAAAATACGTGCTGAATGCACGTATTTCTAGTTTATCAATATAATTTTTAAATAGGGAAAATAAGGGGAAAATAAGGTTTGAAAATTATTAAGACTTTTCTTAAACTAAAGGTTTGCCGTTTCAAGCAACTGCCCACCAACGCCAATCCAAAGCAATTTTCTCTGAGCCAATGGCGAGGCTACTAATTCCACCCGGCTATTTACCCCCGGAGAAAGCATTTGCGAAGTCTAAAGTTCATCAATGATCGCGAGCATGGGTTACTACCATGCGTGCATGGTTGGTTGGTTGGTTGGTTGGTTGGTTGGCTGGCTGGTTGGTTGGTTGGTTGGTTGGTTGGTTGGTTGGTTGGTTGGTTGGTTGGTTGGTTGGTTGGTTGGTTGGTTGGTTGGTTGGTTGGTTGTTTGGTTGGTTGGTTGGTTGGTTGGTTGGTTGGTTGGTTGGTTGGTTGGTTGGTTGGTTGGTTGGTTGGTTGGTTGGTTGGTTGGTTGGTTGGTTGGTTGGTTGGTTCGTTGGTTGGTTGGTTGGTTGGTTGGTTGGTTGGTTGGTTGGTTGGTTGGTTGGTTGGTTGGTTGGTTGGTTGGTTGGTTGGTTGGTTGGTTGGTTGGTTGGTTGGTTGGTTGGTTGGTTGGTTGGTTGGTTGGTTGGTTGGTTGGTTGGTTGGTTTGTTGGGTAGTCATTCTTAGTGATCTCATAATATAGCGGACTATCATGAATAACGAACACTGATTGTTCAAATTTGAAATATGCATTATAACGATTGCATAACGACAGCGAAATAGCAAGCATTTCTTGATTTGATGATTTCTTGCAAATATATTTCATTTTCGCAAGATTTTGAAAATTTCAAAATTTTTTTGAAGAATTGCTAAAAAAGGGAGAAAACGCGCCGACGTTAACGAAGGTAAGTTTGTTTCAAATATTGATGTGTTGTTTGCTTTATAATTGCTTTAAAAAGTGATACGATCGTTGCGTATATTTTAAATTAAATATAATTTTAGTGTATCTTTATTGATTACCCTCTTTTATTATATTAAAATTTGTAAATAAAAAAGAAAGCAAAGTTATTTGCAACTCAAAGTTTATCGATAAAGGCAGTTTAGTTTAATAAAGAAAGATTTTTAATAAAACGTTTTGCGAAGCGTTTGTGGTTGAATTTTATCTTAAATTGAAGCTTATATTACGTATAATGCATACCTAAAATATATATGTTCGGGAAATTGATAATTTTGTAATTAAAAGTGATATTTTTAGGGGATAAATAAATGTATCTTATTATCATAACAACTACTCTAAACTACTTTATGTTCAGAAAATACAATGGTTTTGTCAACAAGGCGAGTGTTTCTGCATGCATTTATTTTCTAGTAAATAATATAAATATGATTAGTAAGACTGTAACATAAACACCAGGGTTTCACGTTTTCAGCATAAGCTACACACCTTTGAATTTACTATACGAGTAAATTGTTAAACACGTCCGAATTTATCAATATGATAAATTCGCGGCACTTAACCCCCTAACCCTGTAACACCAACCCAACTTTTTAAACTTTTTTTGGAAGTTAATTAACAGAAAAAATTAAGGAATTTAAAAAAAAAATAAAAAAATCTCTGTACTCATCAGTGCGGGATTAACTCTGCACGCACGCGCAAGTTCGCAAAATGACGTCCTCTGCACGCGTGCGCATGTACGCAAAACATGTTGACGTCATTTAGCGGGAAAATTTTGCCAAACGTATGTTATCATATTACTATTAATGACATGAAAAACTTTCTATAATGCCTCAGGAAATCTTCATGTGGTGATAGAGTTCTGTCCTGGTGGAAACCTACTAAATTTTTTGCTCAACAGTAGAGTCGGCTATCCTTCCCCTGAAACCTCATCGAGTTTTATCAACATGACATCAACTTTAAATCATCGTCAGTTGTTAAAAATTGCTGTGGACATTTCAAAGGGAATGGTTCATCTTTCTTCTCAGAAGGTATTTAGTTGGTTTGCTAATGCGTTTATGGACTTTATGAAACCAAATTTTCCAATCAATTAAATTATTAAATAAATAAATTATTCCCAATTAAATAAATTATTTCCAATTAAATAAATTATTTCCTATTAAATAAATTATTTGATAATTATCATAATTATCATTTTTCTAAACAATCGGTATTGAGAAGTCAGAGAACTGGTATATGCACACTCTTAAAACACCTTGGTTAAAATTTCGTGGTTAATCTAAAATTAAATCTGCTTGAGCAACTTGATGTCAGGGGCCGCGGAACCGCGCGGCAATGGGACATGTGCCCCCTCACATTTTTTAAAAGTGAAAAAAGTGCCCTTTCTTCTGGGCTAAAGTGCCCCATGGCCCCCATTTACCGAAGGGAAAAGTATTTCTTTTGCTGGAAAGAATGTGCCCTTTTTGCTGTTGTAAAGACTTTGTAGAGACTCCATATTTAAAAAAAAATTCGTTCGGCTCGTGAACGACATAAAATCGTTTGATTTTGATTATATTATATGCAAAAGTGCCCCTTTTGGCCAATGCCCCTCCACTTTCGAAATGCTTTCGTGGCCTCTGGTTGATGTCGACTGGTCATATATAGTCCTGGCTCTAAACTTAACCATTAACCAGATTCTAAGGTGCAATTAACCATATTGTACGTTACCGAACTACCATAAAGCTTAACAATCAAAAAGGTGTTAGCCTAAACTAATACTATTTCGCTTAAAATAAACAAGACTTTTTGTTTTTACGTCGATTCCTTAATCCATGCGTGTAATATAGACCCTTTTATAACACGGTAACATGAAGTGATTTTTAACGAATGTTATTGTATTATTAGTTTATCCATCGTGATTTGGCCGCTAGAAATATTCTCATTGGTGAAGATAACACGGCAAAGGTGTCTGATTTTGGTTTGGCAAGAAATGTTAGTGGAGCTGAGGAATACATCCGAAATAATCAGGTATCATTGTCAAAACTCGCCGGACTTTTATAATGATTCCTTCAAACAAAATAACGATGTACACAACTATAATACGCGAAATTCTACCAAGTTACATTTGAATTATAAAAGAACAAACTACCATATATATACTGTATTAACAAAAGAATTTCTTTATGGAATTTTCTTGATGACGAAATTAAAAATACCAAAACATATTTTTCTTTTATGAAAAAAGCAAAATCCCTTTATACTTATTATCTAATTAATGTAAATAAATGATAAAAACCTTAGAATTAGCCTTAGGAACACTAATGATATAATTTTATTTCTTAGTATTTTTTCATCTTTCAATTTGTTGTAATAATGTCTTCTTTCATAGACTTTAATCATTAGAATACTAAAACTAGGGGCCTTACTATAAAAGTCCAACAGGATTTCCAGAGGTCCCTAGCCCATTATACTACTGTAATTATTTTTGCTGCTTGTGTCGTGTATTTAGATTATACTTTTAGCAAAATATGAATAATACATAAGCATGGCCGATCTACATATCTAATGCGCATGTCCGTGCGTATGACCGCTGTCCGTCTATATCTATATATCTAACACCATCTCTCCTCTTAAGGAATGTATCATAAAATATTGTTCATGAGTTCACTATCGTGTTCGAACAATTATGCTAACCATGACAGTAAGTAATAAAGCAGTTCTCTATGTAGTTTTCTTAAACAGTTTTCGGATCAAACAGTTAAGACCCCACCTCTCGGGTGGTTGGTGTGATCTAGTTGGGTAGCGTTGTTCAGATCCTATTGTAGCCCTACCGGCTACTTGTTGTGTTCCTATTGTAGCCCTACCGGCTACTTGTTGCACTACTGATGGATTCATGGCTAGTTCGATATCCGGCTCTGCGACAATTTCTTCTGCTGGTGCAATATTCTGGCCAGTCTCTCCGAGCTCTGGATGAGGTTCAGCCGTATCATCACTCTGGTCATTTACTTTCACACTCGAGGCTCGAAGCTGGTCGATGTGACGTCGCCAAATTCGATTTGGACCAACTTTTATCTCGTACGAAAGGGGTCCCGTTTGAGCTCGAACTATGCTTGGTAGCCACTTGTCTTTCCCACTGTAGTTGCGTGCCATGACAGTCTGACCAATGGATAACTGACGTGTGGGGGAATGTCCTTTCCTCCCCGCTTGATCGATTTGCCTATTCATCACTTTCCTTTGTAAATCAGGTTTCACCAAATCGAGGCGAGTCCGTAGCGGTCTGCCCAAAAACAACACGGACAGTGATTCTCCAGTCGTCGAATGCGGGGTATTCCGGTAAGCCAAAAGGAACTTTGCCATATTAGTTTTCAGCTGGGAAGCACTTTGTTTCTCGCATTTCATAGCATGTTTGAAACTCTGAACAAAACGTTCCGCTTGACCGTTGGTTGCAGGGTAGAATGGGGCCGTGGTAATATGCTTGATACCATTAGTCTTCAAAAATAGTTGGAACTCTGCGGATGTAAATTGTGGCCCATTGTCGGTCACCACCTGTGCTGGCACTCCATGTCGGGCAAAAATAGTTCGGAGTCGGTCAATGGTCTGCGTCGATGTGGTGGATGGCATTATTTCCACTTCAGGCCACTTCGAGTGTGCATCTACAATGATAAGAAACATTCGTCCTAGGAACGGCCCAGCAAAATCTAAATGGATTCTCTGCCAAGGTGTGGTTGGCCATTCCCAAGGGTGTAGTGGTACTTTGCCGGCTTCATTCTGTTGAAGTTGACAACCAGGGCAGCTCTTGG